ACCCTTTGACGGGAATGTGAATAAGAATGCATTTGATACAGCGGCTGTTAGCACAAAATATCATTCTGAGATATTTTCTGGTCTCATGCCCGAGTTCTTTGATGTGAGTTATTTAAATTTAAGAACAATGGCAGAAGATGAAAGAGTAAAATAGCCCTCTTCTACTGTGTCTCTGTTTGTAAAAATAATAACTTAATATCATGTATGATGATATAGTGAGTCAGCAAACACAAATATCTCCAGGGAAACCTTTGTTCTGATATTTCCCACCTAGTGAAATTTTCTGATGGGGAGAGAATATTAAACAAAATCCTAAGCAAGTCATATCTGTTTATATTGGTGTTCCTATTTGTATTCGCAAACCAATAAGAAATCAAGTTAACTATATTTTTAAGTGAACAGTTTAGAAATGCAAACATTATCATGAATTGTAGAATCACTCTGGATGTTCATCAGTGGATCAATGGATAAAGGAAACAGCACATGAATTTCTTTTTCTATCTATACATACATATATAGATAGATAGATAGATTAGATAAATAGATACATAGATAGATAGATGATACAGATACAGATGGATAGATGGAGTTGTGCCCACCATAAACTTATTTTATTGTAAAAAAATGTGTAGAACTGGAGATGATCTTATTACGTGAAAGAAGCTAGGCTGATAAAGAGAAATATTATACATTACAGAAATGTCTATTTGTAATGTGAAAATGGAAAGGAAATGGTGGATCAAGAAAGGAAAGTAACAGAAAATGTGCAATGATCAAAGTACATCACAAATATACACACATATAAACATATATATATATATATATGACAATATCATAATGATGTTTTCATTTTCATTTTGTTCAGTTCACATATGCTAATAAAAATTAATAAACAAAAGGATCAAAGCCCTTGTGAGATTGTACACTAATAGAGGAGTCCAAAGGAAAACCATTCATAATGGAAATTAGAAGACTTGAAGTTGTTGCATATACATCATCTGTACTTCATGAATTATATTCCTTGATTGTCTTACTAACAAGAATTCAAGTTCATGTCAGTTGTGAGAGTACGTATAATTCTGATACATGTTCATTTTGCATATTGGAATAGTCTATGCATGTCTTGGATCATTGATGTTTTCTCTGTCCACACTGTATGTTTATTCTGAGGAAAGACAAGGATATCTGGATGTGTGAGAGTAATAAATGTAAGCCAGGGATCTTTATGCTACTACTTTTAAGGTGCTGGGATAAAAACCATACACCACTGCCACCACCACCCAGCTAAAAGATTTTTTGTTTGTTTTTCACTTGTTTATTTGTTTATTAAGTTTACTGAATTAACTGGTCTCAGACTCTAGAGTAAAATTCCGTATTGCATTATGATTAAAACATCAAGGCTATGGTATAAGCATGTCTTCTGACCTTGCAAACATCCATATGAATTTTATCATGTTTCTTATTTTCTCCAAGCCTCAGTCTCCTCATCTTTAAAATGAGCTTTGTTTCAATTCTGCTTTACAACATGTGTTGCTTGAATTCAGTGAGATTCATAGTAATACCTAAACCTTTCCTGTTTTTTGGAAATCATGATGCAACATGCAAAAAGAATAATCTTCTCTGGGGTCAGAGTTTTGCATTGGTGAGTTGGGAACATGATTTTAGCTGTTGTGGCATAAACTTTAAAGAAATTGTCAAAATTTGACCAGCCTGGTTTCTCTTTGGAAGCCCCTTTGATAGTTCGACACAGGACACATCAGTGATGGCCCCTGATGGGCAATGGATTGAGCCTGGCTCTTGATCCTAAAGCCTCTTCCAGCTGCTCTTCATCATCTCCGACTGCCAAGCTATGCTCAAGTGATCCAGGGAAAAGACAAAAAGCAAAAGGACTCATCAGAAGAGTGGCAGACTGTCAACACTGCTCACTTTAAGCCCTGCTGGCAATAACAAACTGAAACATACAAGAGACAATGGTTGTGTGTAAATACTCCCCCATCATAAACCACTTCTGCTTCTAGTATGGAAACATTCATTTTTAAAATCCCATTCTCTCTAGAGGACTAAGTATACCATCTATGGGGCATTATCACACACAAAAACGACAAAATAGAGCAAAGGGAAATATCTCTGTACAATAATATTGCATAAATTATGCAAAAAATAAACTGAGAAACTTCAAGAAAAGTAAACATTTGCCAAGATTTGACTAATTGATGATACTTAAATCAAAATCTTAACTGTTTACATTCATATTTTAGCCATGTTATTCCCTCTCACCAAAACCGTGTGTGTGTGTGTGTGTGTGTGTGTGTGTGTGTGTGTGTGTGTGTGTTCAAGGTTCTTTGCTATGCTTCCCTTACTTACTGTCCTAGTAAAGTAAGAGTCAGTATGTATGATTCTCAGAGGTATCATGTTGGTGTGGTTATGGGCCTATGAGAGAGTCATTAATAAATTCCTATAATTAAGTATCAGTGGCTCATCTGTGTGTAGCTTTATCTAAAAGAACTTCCCTTTGTGACTCTATCTGGTGACAGCTTTTCTGCAGGCACACAAGTAGGACAATATTGGATTAAGTCAGGCATTCTGTATGGAGCACAGATGTTTAACAGGTAAAGTTGCACAGCTGTACTTCTGACTACAGTTAAAACTCTCAAACCTTTACAAGGTTGAGGAAATGGCACTCCTTCTGACATTTGTCCTCATTCCCTTGGGACACAGATGTGCCAAGGAAATAACTTCTACAACTAAGGTCAACTTAGGTCTTCTCAGTTACACTCCATAGTTTTCACCTTTGATCTTATAAGCACTGTACTACACTAGCTAATTAGCATTATTAATGTGCTTTTTTTTCCTCCATGTTTCCTTCATGATACATTTATTTAGTCCATCACAGAACAGTCTCTGAGCCTAGAGCATAAGTGGTTTGTGTTTCACTTGTTTTTTGTTTATTTTGCTTTTATCTGATGTATCGTTATTAACCACAGTGTCTGCTCTGCTTGAAGAACACCAGAAAGTCTATATGTTATAGGAATTCTCACTGAACTTCCACAAAAATCTCAGCCTCTTATACTATAGGTTGCATGAGAATGCCATGTACTTTCTCAACACTCAGGAGAAACCATCAGTGGCACTAGGCAGTGATATTGCTAGAGGGGAGTTGTTGAACCCAGGCCAAACTGGAGAAGCAGGTTTGACTGCAGCATTCCTTTTAAAATGACTCAGGAGGTCAAATAGCCTCAAAAGGAAAAATAGCACAAGTTCTCTATTTCAAAGGCCCACCTTGTAGGAGTCTCTTGAAATTATCCACTGTATAAAGTTAATAGTCACAGATTGATTATTATCTGCTAGTTATTGCCTATACTGATTGGAGAGTGTGAATGGCCCCACTAAGGGGCTGTGGTTGCTATCCTGTGTCACAGATGAGGAAACTGAGGCACTATTTAGGTAAATGACTGTGGATCATAACAGTACAGTTTGAAATTGGCTGTCTCTATCATCAATGAAAGCAAAGTGAGGATTGGTCAACTCACTAATGCAGCAATCCATGGACATCCTAATTACATCCAATGTTCCTTGGGAGAATTATTCCTTATACAAGATAAATAATGTGGAAATACCAAGGCCCATAATGAGCTTGAGAAAAGATGGGTATGTAAAATAAGATTGTTTCTAAATTAAATAAAAATATATAAAATAAAAAAGCAGGAAATAATTTTCACATCTTCCTGTAAACTCATCCTACCAAATTTTAGATTGAATGTTTATCAAACCAATTTAATGGTGATTAATAATTTATGAGATTTAAATACAAGAAGTCATGATGTTTGCTGGATTATTTTCCTTTTTAAGTCTTATGTCAGAATTCAATGTTCTGGAAATCAATTCTTGAAACCTAGAATATCCTTGAAAATAGAATTTTTACCATCATTGCAATTTCTAGTCCACTTCTTCAATATTCCATTCTGTATATAAATGTTACAATTGCCATGGGATTCTCTCTCTCTCTCTCTCTCTCTCTCTCTCTCTCTCTCTCTCTCTCTCTCCTTTTCTTCCTCCCCTCTTCACTCCTAACTTGTCTCTCATGTAATTTTTCCATCAGTGGATAAAACAGCACGGGAATTCCCTCTCTATAAAATTCAGATGAAACCCTAACACTTGTTTGCATGCATTTTCCTTTTTCTAAAGAACAGCCTAGGGATATGAAAAGAAGGTAGAGTAGGAAACCAGGAGAACAAATCTTCAAACAGACAGATACACAGTCTCTGAGTAAACAATTCATAAACAGCCTGTCTCTTTAGCAGATACAAGTCTGACTGAGGTCCTGAACAAGAAGAGCTCCTTCCCGCTCCAGACAATGAGTATCTTAATATGCTAACTAGTTAAACTGCTGGGTTTGAGAAATTGGTCCTTGCGTCTTTTGAGCATATCAAGTGGTCCCAGTGAGAATCTCTGACATCCCAGGATAGTCACCTTCCTGTAAATTGCACCGTTGGACTTCTCCCAGTAAAACCAGTTCGGTGTGGTTGTGACTACCTCCGAAGCCTCTTTTCTTCCAGCCTGTCCTGGGCGGCTCCATCCATCCAAATGGGAGCTGAGTTTGCAAGCTACCAGAGGCAGTGGAGCTGGTGCTGCTGATGTCAGAGCCAGAAGACAGTTGTGATTGGATCTAATTAGACTTTGCGGCAGCAAATAGACGAGCTCCCTGCGTGATTGGCTTTAAAGTGGATGGTGCCAAACAACTCGCAGAGGCGCAAAAGTAGCAGCCCTGCTTTGGGAGCCCAGAGGAGGAGGAGAGAGCTCCAGGGCGCCTAGGACGCGCGGGAGAATCTTTCCCCCAGCTTTCTGCCTAAGGAAGGGCTCAGCTTTCCAGCGCACATCCGAGGCTTTCAGCTCATCCAGAGCCAAGTGACGGGACAACTAGAGAGAAGGTGCTTGCTGGTATATCCTGTCCTAAAAAGTGAGACTGCTCCTTGATTTTCAAAGCCAGAAATACTCGCTGCGGCCGCGACCACAGCAGCAAGAATAAAAAAGGGGAAATTGATTAAGGACCGGCTCCTCTCTGATTCTCGCGACTGGCATGGCATCTGTCCTAGGGAGCGGCAGAGGATCTGGAGGGCTAAGCAGTCAACTCAAATGCAAGTCCAAGAGGAGGAGAAGGAGGAGGTCCAAGAGGAAAGGTAAGAAGCTCTCCGTGCGTGCGCTCTGGTGCCCGCTGCAACTCTCCCCCTTGTCTCCCCTTGTCCTTCCTGCGATCTCTGTGGCCTTTTGTAGGTTCTGCTCCTCACCTTCACTTCAGGGTGTTTCTGGGATGTCCACACTGAGTAGGGCACTTGTGAGTTCAAACCTTTTTGTAAATCGCTAGGGATCTTTCCCCAAGCCCGGAGGGTAGAGCAAGAGAGCCAGACGCTCAGCGGAAGATGTTTGGCAGGAGACACTGGGAAGGAAACTGAGAGGGCTGAGCAGAGGAGCATCCACCCTCTGATGCTTGTATTCTGGGTACCACCGTCCCTACTGGATACCCAAGGCTGGCTGGCACTTAGACACTCTTGGAGCCGACAGTATCACAGGGTGCCAAAAGAAACACTCACTTAAGCCAACACACATAAAAATGAGAGAATGAGCTCTTGCTCCACCTCCTCCTATCCAAATTGTCTCAGAGGAAAAAGAGGGTAAAACCCTGGCAATCTCCTTCCTAAATTGACTGGATTTATTTATTTATTTATTTATTTATTTATTTATTTATTTATTTATTTATAACTCAATGAGCTATCTCGTGGTCATGTAAACACTGGCATAGACAAAGAGGACAGTGTATGCCCTTGCAGAAATCACTGCCAGGAAAGAAATAAACGCTGTGTCTTAATGGTAGGAAAAGAAAGAAAATTAAATCTCACAAACCAAAAAAGAGAGACAACCGGATGGCAGGTTGCAGCTGATGAACTCGAGCTGTGTCTTATTACTGATAGTGTTGAAATTGGGCTGTACAGAACTTAGTCAATGTCACCACAAGTGCAGGGATTCCACACGAGGGTTTGTATCAAATTAGCAGTTCCACCATCATGATAGGCGGTGCCCTAGAATGCATTTTAGCCCGTGTGCGTTCCACGGAAGGTTTGAAAGGTACCAGAGCTGTCCTTTCCTTTTCAGAGAGGGACTTGACTGTGAGTTGGTGCAAGTTCAGTGCTTTTACCAGTATTGAAAAGGTAGTTTGGTTTCCTTTTAGTTTTTAAAGTGTTTGTAGAGATATGCAGAGCAGACACAACTTAAATGAGTTGGAATTTTTTGTTTTCATGCAGGATACATTGTGAGACGTGGTGGTGGTTGTACTAACCCTTCAAGAATCTCTTTCTATAGCCTCAGATAAGTTTCTGCTTGATTGTTTCCTAAGTGCTGTCTAGCAGTCCCTGAGTCCAATAGGATTTCCAATAACACAAACTTACCAAACATAAATGTCAGAAGCAAACAGTCCTCGATTATGATCACACATAAGACACCTGAGAGCAAAGGAGATCTGACACCTGCCTTTAATTATTTCAGAACCTATGATTTCACAAGTGGGCTGATTTTATGATTGTATTTCAGTTCTCAGACAGCTCAAATGTATTTGAGGTTCACCTAGTTATTTAAAAATATTTTTAAATTGACTTAACTGATTTTTTCTAAAGCTACATGATACTAGAAATGACATAAATATTAGGAAAACCATGGCTTTCAGCAGTTCAACAATGAATGCCACTTTTAAAAGAAGTAAAGAAAAAATTGTCTTTCTACTTCAGGTGTTTGTGTTTCCTGATATTTTTATAATCGGTTTAGGTATTTAGAACAAAGCAATTGAAACAATATTTATTGTAACACAGTCTATAGAAATGTAAGCCAAAGAGAATTCTTCCTTCGTTTGCCTTACCATGAAGTGTAAGACATATTACTTAGAAATCATTCTGGAGGGAAATAAAAAGAAACCTGAGAGAGTCTCCATTTACTATAAACTGAACCATGGCAAACCAATATAATAAAAATTACAGCAAATATTTGTACTCTTCGTACCTTTGACTATAGTAACTCTCCAAATTTTCATAACAAAGGCAGAAGGTTAAATCATATACCTGTTTCTATTATGTGTAGACCTGTGTATCAGTGGCTTTTTCTCTATCACCTGCCCAAAGCTATTGTGGTGGGACAGTCAAATGAAAGTATTAAATATCTGCTTTTACTGGCAAAGTTAATAATGGAGCTATGCATGACCAAAATAAAGGCTAGCATACTCAGTCATAGAACAGAGTAAATAATTATTTTACTTCTCCCAAAGAAAAGAAGTTTATTTGACAAACGCACATTTCTTCTACTCCATAAAGAGCAAAGATGCCTTTAAATCTTATCTTAATCATGTATTTTCACCAAGATGGGATAGCTTCAAATTTTAAGCCTTCCAACATGAAAAATCACATATGTATGGGAGACAGTTCAGGAATATTGGGATGTTATTGATATTAATAATATGTTAAACTATTCTTACAAATTAACAAATGTAATTATGATAAATGCATGTGTGCATGTATGTTCCCAGCTCACCTATCAGTCAGGCTTCAGTTTTTAAAGTGCATCAGCTCATTCAGTTGGTCAGTGTGTCAAAGACTCTTTATTTTCTATGTGTAGCCTTGAAAAGTATCTTTTGTACAGTATGCTTTTTATGATCCAACAGTCTATGTTTTGAACTGAAACATTAACTACAGCTTAACTATGGTAATGATGGAATATGATTATTGGTAAATGCAATCAATCCATCATCTTGGAAACAGGGTCCTTTCTTTCATAGAGTAGGTTTCTGTAACAATACCACTTATAAAGTAATACATATTTTTAAATATTCAAAAACCAAAGAAAAACTTAGTCACAGAATATTACACCCATGGTTACCTAGCAGAAGCCCACAGTCTCTGCCAGGTAAACCTTAAAGAAAATTCTTTTACTAGACCTCCCTACTCACAATCTCACTTTTCATTTTATTAATTCCTTGTATTATTCACCTTTGCATGTTATCTGTGGGTGGTGTTTTAGTTAGGATTTCCTTTAGAAATCATTTGTAAGTGGTTTATACTGTCTAGACAAATGGGAAATGTGAGCATCTTACTTTTATATGAGACATCAAAAATCAAAATAAAAGTACATGAGAAAGACAGGCAAAGCATCTGATTTTTGTACATGCGTAAAAATAGGGCCTGAACCAATTTGATAAGTGAAATATAGCATTTTATTCTCCTTTGATGTCATTAGAGACTTTTGGAAAACAATGGTAGCACAAGTAGTTATGAAGGCTACTACCTGTCATCATTAACTACCCATATAGTATTGCCTACAATAGTACAGGGAGAGAACAAAAAGATTGCACTTTATTTTATAGTTCTTGGTAGAACTATACAGTGTGTTCATAAACAATTTCACCTATTGTTTCTTTTATAAAAGATAATTCTCCTTGTATTAGAAAATAACTGAAAAATATTTCAAAAGAATCAATTTTAACCAAAAAAAAAAAATGTTAAGATTAAATGTTTTTGCTGTTGTTGTTAGCAGCAGGTAGTCTAACGGGAAGACCTCTTCAAAACTAGTGCAGTAATTTTAAGTCACTTAAAATTTAATTCCTAACCATAGACTGTCAGGATAATATATTTAGTAATCTCATAAATACACCTTAACATTCTCATTTATTAAAATGGTGTATATTTACTGTGTTGTGTATCTGCTTTTCTTTTTTGTTGCTGTTGTTAATGTATTTCCCACAAAGAGCCCAAACTTTGTCTTAAAATTCATTTTTCAAATAAAATATTTAAATATATAGCCCATTATTATATCAAATGTAAAAACAACTGAGAATTTAAAACAAAATATCTCTTTTAACATGGACCTATTTGAAAAGATTCCGAACTGGTACCCATTCAAGGTAAACTGAAGGGCACAGTTCAGAGTGAAGTATATCCATCTTCCATCAACTAGGAAGGGACTTTGGGGAAGTATCTAAGTGGTATGCAAACACTCATTTGACTGGTCAACTGAGTTGAGCCTTGGCACATAATGTGTCATTCTTTGGAGCATTTGACAATGAAACTTGTCTTGAAATTGAGCTATTGTTCTAGGGTGGTTTAGGGTGCAGGTCTTTAGGTGACTGGGAGTGAATTTTGGAAGCAACACCACAAGGCAGATCTAGGAAAGTAAATTGGGAATCTCAGCAAGGTGGTGAGGAGCGGAGCAGCCTGAGAATGTTGTGAAATGCAAATAAAAAGTTGGCAAAGGGGACATAGTAAGTGGAGCAGATGGATAGCAGACACCAGCTTGTTGTGAAATGAAATTCCATGAAAAATTAATGAAATAGAAAGATTGCGCATTGGATGAGGGTGCAGCGGCTGTGTTGCTTTCTATCCCCTGCCATGTGGCTGTCATCTCGGCGGGTAAAAGACAGCCCATCTACACCACTGGCTCTTATCTTGCGCGCTGACAGCTCAAGAGGAAGGACTGGATTGGAGGATAAAAATCAAATTGATTAAACCAACCGTTAGTCAGGATCTAATTGCATGAGATGTTTCTTCCCTTTTTCTCTCTTTTTAAAATTTTTATTAGTGTTTCTGGTTTCTAGTGACCCATGTAATAACAGTAATTTGAGATTTCTTCAAGGACATTAGATATGATGAATGAACTTGAATTTAGAATAAAAGTGTGAGATTCATGTATCCATATCTAAATAGAGGCAATAGGGTTATTGCCAAAAAGCCATCTCAGAATAGTGTTACATAAGGAAATGGACAGTGAGTGAGAGACTATATTTTATGAAACACAGAAAGGTAAACATGTTCTGAAAGCATTGTGTTTAATTAAAAACCCATGTGTGAATATATGTATGTTACTCTGTGTGTATATGTATGTGTATTGCTATGTATACGTGTGTGTCTAAACAGCAAAGACTAGAAACACTGAATCAGTTTTATACCTGTCTGTATCTTTTTTGAAAAATTATAGAAAATGTAAGTCTGTGGGTTTTTTTTAATAACAGAAACAGTTTAGAAATACCTAAGAATGAAAAAAATGTATTTGACTCTGTCATTTATAAATTTTATTTCTAAACAGATGTTGCTATAACCAATCTGGGTGCTAATGATTTGCGAACATTTTCAAACTGGCAGTTTTTCTT